TTGAAAATTTTCACAGCCCCCCCTAAGAGCCTCTCACAGCACCCCAGTGGGAGGCAGCACTCCGGCTGAAAGTCACGGATCTAGAGGCTTGCTTTCCTTCTCTCTCTTCCTCTGTCTTTCTGGGCAGCTCGGACTTTGAGGCAGCAGGCCCCTGATGGCATCCTCTTAGTTCTCTCCAGCAGAGGTATGGGAGAGAGCCTTCGTTTCATGCACTCCAATATCAGATCATTTCCCCTGATTGGGGTAACTTCTGGCCATGCCTCCCTCAAGTTTTCAGAAGTAAACTCAACATTTACTGATCACATAAATCACAGGTATCATGAGTTCAATGAGATCAATTATACACAACAGCTATCTCCAAGGGGTTCATATTTCATTGGGGAAAGACACACACATGGTAATTGTTTAAAGACAACAACCAGCAGATGGAATAGAGGTTTGGTTTGTTGTTATTTTTCCAAATGAACAGACAAGGCTGGATATATTATCTTCCAGATCAGCCTAGGGTTCAGAGGAGACTGAAGACATCAGTCACCAAAGAGCATTGGACTATGCTAGTCTACAGGTTTAACTGTATCTCCCCAATTCATATGTGGAAGTCCTGCTCTCCACCCCCATGAACTCAGATTATGACCTTGCTTGAAAATAGTCTTTACAGAGGAAATCAAGTTAAAACGAGTTCGTTAGGGTAGGCCCTAATCCCATATGACTGATATTCTTATAAAAAGGGGAACTTTGGAGACAGGCACACAGGCAGGAAGACGGTGTGGAGGGACACAGAGAGAAGACGACCTCCCACAAGCCGAGCAGTGAGGCCTTGGACGGATCCCTCCCTCACAGCCCTCAAAGGGAACCAACCTGCTGGTACCTTGGTGTCAGACTTCCAGCCTCCAGAACTGTGAGACATCAAACATCAGTGCTGAAGGCACCGGGCCAGTCTGTGGTGCTGTCTTACCGTGGCCCAAAGATGCTAACACAGCTTGCTGCCAGGGTGAGCTCTGAGTGAGTGCAGGAGGATGGGGCTGGCCTTACATGCCAGGGTAACAGGACAAACAAAACAAGCCAATCTGACGTCAGCCATCTCTGAGAAAGCCAGTTTACATACACAAAGGCTCATGCAGGGCCGGGGAGAACATGCCTATCTGCAGGGAGTTGGGGGCGTGCCAGAAGCACTGCCTCACAGGAGAAACAGGGTATGTGGAGGAAGGTGCAGAGGTGAGCTGGAGAAGGGACCTGAGGGAAGGTCGCTCTGATAGATGGGTGGTCATCAGGAAAGGCGGCAAGCCACAATCACCCAGTGTGACAGGCAGCCGGGCTCCCAAGGATGTCCATGGCTTAATCCTGGAACCTGTGGAAAGTAATCAACTTGGCAAAGCACCTTTGCTGATGGCTGTTCAGGATCTTGAGTTGAGGAGATTAGGCTGGGTCATCCAGGTGGGCCCTAAATGTCATTGTAAGTGTCCCTAGAGGAGGGAGGGAGAGGGAGATCTGCCATGCACAGAGGGAGAGGCAGTGAGACCAGCAAGTGGGGAGAAGAGGTGGTGTGATGAGGCCGAGAAAGAAGGGGACAGATTCTAGAAGGTGGAGTGGGAAGGAAGTGGATTCTCCACCACAGCTTCCAGAGAGAACATCTTGATTTCAGCCCAGTGAAGCCCATTTTGGACTATAAAGGAATATGTTTGTGGGTTTTTTAATCCACCAAGCTGGTGGTAATTTATCCAGCAGCCACTGGAAACTACCACACCTGGGGAAGACTCACAGAGCAGTAGTAGAATCTGCTCCGAGGGTGAGGCCCAGGCTTCTGCACCACGTCCCGTGTGCACAGCTTGGTGGAGGACCTCTAAGGCGGGAGGCAGCCCCAGTTCAAGTGTGCAGCAGGGGGAGCCTGTCCAGCAGGAGCAGCGAGATGGACAGGAAGGAAAGAACATGGAAGGTGCCATGAGCAACACAACTGATTCATGAAGGAAAAGAGGCAAGAGTCAAAGATGGGTCAGATCAGACCTTGTGTCTGGGGAGCAAGACGCCCTTCACGCCCAGGGAAGCGGGACAGAGAGCTGTGGTGCTGGGGGCTGGTTTGAAGTCTGCCTAGGATTGTCCAGTGGGCAGTTATGAGCTGAGAGCTAGGGAGAGAAGGAGCAGGGCTGAAGAGACTATCAGGGAATCAGCAGCAGCAGAGAGAGAAGTTGAAGCTGTGGCCACGAGTGCAATTTCCAAGGGGGGTTTAGATCCAAAAATGAGAATAGGGAAGAACAGAACTAGGGCTGCCCCATAGCAAAGGAAGAGTGGGGCAAAGAGATACAGGCAATGGTCAGAGCGGCAGAGGAGTCTCCGTAGCACAACTCAGAAGCCTAGAGTGTGTGTGAGGGGGGACGACAGCGTCTCATGCTGCAGAGAAGGGAAGAGAAAGATGACTAAGACATGACCACAGATTAGAGGCCATCGGTGACCTTTGAGGAAGCAGTTTCCATGTACAGAAGGGAACAGACATCAGATGTCTGATCTGCGGGGGAGAGTGGGTGGGGAGGAAGTGGAGGCCCCTTTCGGGGTCCCAGCAATGAAAGCAAGCTGAGAAATGAGTGACAGCCTGGCAAATGAGACAGAGAGGACTCAGCAAAACGGCCTTGCCGTCAGAGGCTGAACACCCCCAGCTCCTCCGCTGCTGGTATACACTGAACAAATTATTCAGCCTTCTGTAGACTCAGTCACCTCATTTACAAAATATGTATAATAATGCCTACACCAAAGAGCTGCGAAGATTGAATGAAACGGAGAAAACATTTATTGCCCGGCACACAGCCCCTAAACTTCATATAGAAGCCCTGGAATCCTACTTTCCTGCAACATGGGTTGCCAGGTAAAATGCAGGACTCAGTCAAACTTTAATTTCAAAATAGAAACAATTTTTAGCATAAGTATGTCCCAAATATTACATGGGCCAAACTTACACTAAAGAGCTATCTGTTGTCTATGTTGGTTTTCTACTGCTGCTGTAGCAAATTACCACAAACTTACTGCCCTAAAAGAACACTCACTAACTTCCTGGCTTATTGTTCTATAGTTGAAGAGTATGGTGTGGATCTCGCTGGGCTAAAATCAGGGTGTCAGCAGGGTTACATTCCCTTCCTGTCCAGCACCCATTTTCACCCATTTTCTTGCCTTTTCTGGCTTCTGAGGCCATCTCTGTTCCTTGGCCGATGGCCTCTTCCTCCATTTTCAGAGTCACAATCTCTCTGACCCTCTTTCCTTAGTGATGTCCCCGTCTGATTGCCAGTGGCAAAAGTTCTCCACTTTGAAGAACTCACTTCACTAGATTGGGCTGCTTAGGTAAGCTGGGATACTCTTCACCATTTCAAGGTTCAGATCCTTAATCGTATCTGAAAGTCCCTTTTGCCAAGTAAGTTAATATATTTATAGGTTCCAGGGATTAGAACATGAACATCTTTTGTGGGATATTATTCTGCCTACAGTATTGTTGATCTAAAATTCAAATTTAACTAGATGTCCTATAGTTTGTTTGCTAAATCTGAAGACCTTATCTATAAACTTCATTTGATTAATGGGAAGACAAAATGCAAATTATCCTTGGCCCTAGAACCTCCACTATACCTTCTATTACTTCTCTCCATTTTATGATGGCTCCATACTCACCTCCCATTATGCTGCGTTTATGGAAAACATCTATATCTGTTTGTAAAATGTGTGCGTGTGTGTGTGTAAAGAGGTATTCTACCTTATCTCGACTTTCATGAAGTCTAAATGAAATTTAGACTAATAGGAATTATGAAAGAAAAACAGAAACCATTCTAAATGTTTCAGGCAGGGAAGGAACCTAATATAAGGAACTGGATTCCTGCAAAAGTCCGAGAAGGGCTGGGGAACGTCAGAAAGGAAGGTCAGCTTTCAAACTTGCTGCTAGCTTTCTGAGACAGAAAGTTTCAGGGACTTCAGGAAGCCCAGTGGTGATGATATCATCTGCTTCTAGCACAGACATGGATGACTCACAGGGAACTATCTGGGAGCTGATATAAAATCTGGTATCTGCTGAAACCCACACATCTGCCCTCTTTTGCAAAGGAGCATAATGTGGCTTCCACTTGTGCCTTTTAAATCTCATGTCAGCGTATGACTGGGAACTCTGTTGGCAAGGATGCTGGGAAATGTAGTTTTCAGGCTTCCAACCCTCCCACCCCCCACTGCCTGGCAAAGAAGGAAAGAGCACAGCAGACAAGCCTGCATATATAGCTAAAGAAAGAAACACCCTGAAGCCTTGAAGGGAAGAAACTTTTGCCAAAGGAAGAGGCAAAATGATCACCAATGCAGAGATTTCTGGTTATTGTAAAATACCCCAGCCCCTAAGGATTTTGTACCCATCTGCTATTGTTTCTGTAAAACAATACTTTGTTAATTTGTGGTAAATATCCCATTGTCTTCTAGGCTTAAGCTAGCCCTAAGATTTCACTGACTATTACTCTTGCCCATCAGAATTTTGTTCTTCCTGTCTGAGGAAGCAACATGTCAAAAGATGGATCTTGATAAACACGTGTGTTTCCAGAGCTAATTCCTATGCTGTAAGATCTAACTGTCTTATTATCTTTTATGATGAAACAAACTGCACTCTAAAACTTAGTGGCTTAAAACAGTAATTCACTATTTTTCATAATCCACAAGCTGGGAATTCAGGCAGGGCTCAGGAGGCTCTCTGCCACACAGCGTTGGCTGGTTCACCTGCTCAGCTACATTCAGGTGGTGGCTAGCTGGGCTAACAGATCCCAGGAGGAGCCACACACCTGTGTGGTGCTTTCGTGCCTCCCCACGGGGCTTCTGTCCATCCATGTGGTTCATTTCAGCTTCTGCACAGCCCAAACTCAGCTAGCCATGCTCCTTCACCGTGTTTTGTATATATTTATACATAAAATACTCATGTACTACTAACATTCTGCTAAATATAAATGAATTTTAATGATTTTATTTTTTAATAAGCATAAATGAAAGATCTTATATACTGCTTTTTTTTACAAATCACAGCAAGCTCTGATCTGCCTTTCCATTCAGTCTCATCATCACTTTCCTGGGTTGTCTCATTGACTCCATACCCAAATCACTTCTACCTCCGCACGGTGACACAGGAATCTTGCTCCCAGTGTTTATCCTCTTCCGATTGTCTGGAGTTTTCATATATCTAACAGAGCTTGTTCTGTTCCATGCTTCACAGTAGGTATCTAGGAAATACATCCATCATGTAATCATGTACTTGAACCTGAGCACGTGAGAGCTTAGGGCTTGTGGTTGGGTAAAGCAGATTTGTTCTTCTCTTTCAAAGGCCGCCAGGTACACATTTAGATCCCTGACCCTTGTATAGTTGTATACAGATGCTTGTGCACCCTTATCCCTCTCAAAAAAATCATTTGGGAATGAGGCACTGATTCAAATTATTTGTGTTCTCTCATTGAGTGGAAATTTGAAAATAATTTAAACTTATAGAAGGCAGGTGTATGCCTTTTCATTTTCTTGTCTCTAGAATTCTTCCACTGGGACTGGCTAATGGCAGGTGCATAATAAGCTTTGTTATAGCAAAGGCTGGCCTGTCACATTTAACCACCCAAGGACATACCGTTTTTTTTTAGTTTGCAAGCTGAAATGTACAATTTGCTTGACAATACTTATTAAGAAATTCTGGGGCACACAACAGGTACTTTTTAGCCTATAGAACTAAAAATCAAATCACTACAGAAAATATTGGACAGAAGGTGATGCCAAAAAAAAAAAAAAAAACAGATCGGACATAGCGCTTCTAAGTGCTTTATCCTTTAAGTTACGAGTACAAATTTATTTCCTTCTAGTCTTTTAAAAAACTGTGTGTGGGAGTGTGGAAATGGAAGGGGGAGCTTTAGGCAGTGAGCAAGAGTGGAAGGATTTTAAGTGACCCATCGTGAGCACCGTGTAGACCTTGGCCAGGATGATCTACCAAACGGCCCCCGCAGAAAAGAGGAGCCCGACTTCTTTTTTAATCAGACTTGGGGCTGCTGTGTGCACAGCCCTGATGCCCAGGCTGCCTGCAGGCTCTTGATAGCTCCAGCAGAAGCAAGGGAGAAGCTGATAATGGGACAGGAGCCTCGGAAGCCTGTGGGCTGCCCAGGGCCTCCCTTCCGGGCAGTTCTCCTGCCAGATGTGACACATACCTCATGGGCCTGAGAGAAGGCCTAGGGGACCTCTCCCATTCTCCATCTTGTCTAATTTAACACAGTTTCTGTCTGGCTCCTCTCAGCTTCAAAAGGGAGAGTGAACAGTTTGAGTACAGGACAGAATCCTGTGGAACTCTCTCGGTGGGTATTTTGAAACAAGTCCTGCAGGCAGCGTGTCAGGCGAGGGCTGGGAAGTATGAAATCCGTGCAGGGGTGGAAGGGAACCTGGGCTCCGACTGCGTGCTGTTTGCTCCTTTCATTTCAGGCTGCTGTGCTGATTGTTTTTCCCAAGATACTTTCTCCCACAAATGCAAAAGCTAGAGCTGTACGGCCATCAATCTCTGCCCGTTCCTACCAAAGATGCCTGGGCTGCATGACGGCTGGTCTTCTTCTGCTAGGGAGCAACACCCCACACACCCCAGCTCACTTCACAGACTCCCCCCAGGCTAGCAGGCAGGGGAGGGATGTCTGCTTGGAGACAGCAGCTTCCGGGGGTTCTGCCATAGGCACTGTATAGTTACCCTAATTGACACTGGAGAGGGAAAAAAAAATCAGGATGTTACTAAGTAGTTTGAAGCCTGTTTAGCTATAACTTATAGCAGAGACTCTCCTTTTAGATTTTTCTAAGCCGAAGTCTGTGTTCCCTAAGTCGGGCCCTCCTGGGCCTCCGCCCCTCCTCTGTAAAATGAAAAGTTTCAACCAGAAGGTCTCTCAGGCCCCTGGCTGCCTCTACTCCCTATGATCCCAAGATCTCCTAATGAGTGGTGATGACCAAGGCCAGCAGAGGCCTGGAAAATCCAAAAGAACAGAAACCCCCCAGATCACATTTGTTCACCTGCGAGGAGAATGGGCCTGTGCTGAATAATGAAATCACAAGTAAAGAACCAAGGTTTCCGCGTACAGCCATCCAGTCCCTCCAAATCCCCACAAGGCCTCTGCTCCCCTTTCTGAAGGAATGCAAGTGACTGCTTCTGCATTGCTCCGAACCCCGCCCCAGCCACTCGCACACAACTTGGCCTTTTCTTTTGTCTGTCCAGTCAGCATTTTCTCTGATTGAGAGATTGATGCCAAAGCCCTCCCTTCAGAAAAGTTCAAGAGGAAGCAGAGAGCATCCCTGGTACTATCAGCCAGGCTTGAAAAGAGCCCTGATGAGACAGACAACGGCACCCCCTCCTCTTTTGCCACCCTTTACAGGTAAGCCAAGTTTTACTGTCCCCATTTTATAGACACAAACACTCACCCAGGGAGATAACTGAGCTGCTCAAGTTTCCAAGACCACTTAAAAGCAGAATGAGGACTGAAAACCAAGCTTTCTGGTTCTTAGAGTCCCCTTCACAGAGCTGCTGAAGTTAGGAATCAGCTTTCTGGAAGAAATGGCTTTACTTCTACGGTTACCTGTTTCTGGCTGGAAGAGAGTGGAGGAGTGACAGAAGCAAACAAAGGTCACTTCAGGGTTAAAACTCTTTCCAAACCATTTGACCCTTGCCCTGTTACACTCCAAGCTACTTCTGCTTCTTGGGTTTGCCCAGAGAGCCATGAGCAGGAGCTCCTTTTGCCATATGTGACTGCTCAGAGTGTGGGAGCAGAGGTGCTCATCCAACTCAAGGGCAACCTTCCAATGACCAAGAGGACAAAGCGGTAGCATTGGTGGGCTGTCCTGTTGGGTGGGACACCCTTAGAGAGGAGCATCGACTCACTGGCCACCTTCCCTGCCCTGGCCACATCCTTTAGTTGTAGAGATGTTGAGGCTTTTGCTACTGACCAATGAGACTATCTCATATTTAATGTGAAACAGAGAGAACTAAGAGACTTGGACAAACGGGAATATGAGTTTGGAAAATATTCAGATGTTCTCCTTTGTCCTTTTAAGAAAAGGCATAGGTTTAGTTCTGATTGTGCACTATTTACTGGTGGGCGTATGGGGAAGGAACCCATATTGATTTGTTTCAAAATTCAGTGAAAATCCTGCTGATTGTTTTTGTTGAGGACTCACGTCAAGGTTTTTCTTCACAATTTTGTTTCACTGAGGCCCCGGGAAGGTCCGTGAATCTTTAGAGTATGAAGTCGATCTGTAAAACAAAAACAAAGACAAAACCTCAGGAATGCTCCAATTTTGTGAAAATTATTGAACAATAGGCTTCTGATGTTCATTATTTAAACAAGATGAATTGAAAGAATTTTTGTCAGTCTACTTTGGAATGGAAAATGCCAGATCTTCCTTTTTTAAAGTTTTCAAAATCCTCTCCCCTACCTTTTTTGGTTTTTTCCAAATATACAAAGCACACCACTTCATCCTCTAAAGCCTTAACTGATGTGAACCTTGAACTAACGTGGCAGAAGCAGTTTCTCATTCTGTATTTTGGAGAGATTGGTGGGGGAGGTGTTCAGGGAGGTCACATTGAAAAGTCTGAAATACCCCAGAGTGGGTGAGCAAAGCTTTCCCTGTAACTTGGAGATCTATAAAGCCAAAGAGCAAGACACACAGAAAAATGTGCCAACAGAAAATTCTGTTTTAGGGGTGTTCTTCCTCTTTACCAAATGGCTCATTTTTAGCACAGTTTTGGGATTATATTACTTTGCCAAAAACAGTGTGGTGATTTGGGGTTCTTCTAATGTTACTGGTAATTTTAAGTGTTTCTTCCCCACTTGGTTAAGTGGTTCTAACCAACTATTTTAATAGGACAAAAGAGTTCAGCCAAACGCCTTAGGAAGTAGCACTTCTCTCTGGTTCTCACCTTTCTTCGTCACCCACACCCACACTCCCTGCATGGGGGATTTATCATTCCTTTTAGTCCTTACCCCAACAGACCTGGGTGTTTGGATATTACATATAATTAACTGAATTGTTTCATACTTGTTAAAAGTCATTTAATCTCTGAACATGTCTATTTATCAGGCATCTGTTAAAGTAGTAGCTTTTAAATAAACGAGATTCCAAAGGCTTTTCGATCTATACCTCCGTTTCCTCATCTATAAAGGGGGATATCATGAAAGGACATCTCTAAGAAGAGACTAGGAGAATTACAACCAGAAAAGCCCTCAGTAAGTGTCCAATAAGTGACTGGTGAGACTATCCTAGGCTCAGACAGGCACCTTTTGTTCCTTGGACCAGGGCCTGGTGGACCAGTGAGGAAGAAGGAGGCTGAGAGATGTATCCCTGGACAGCTCTGCGAGGAGCTGGGAGAGAACTCAGTAACCTGCTCTCTAAAGCAAGAGCTTCAACATCTCTACAACTAAAGGATGTGGCCAGGGCAGGGAAGGTGGCCAGTGAGTCGATGCTCCTCTCTAAGGGTGTCCCACCCAACAGGACAGCCCACCAATGCTGCCGCTTTGTCCTCTTGGTCATTGGAAGGTTGCCCTTGAGTTGGAAGAGCACCTCTGCTCCCACACTCTGAGCAGTCACATATGGCAAAAGGAGCTCCTGCTCATGGCTCTCTGGGCAAACCTGAGAAGCAGAAGTAGCTTGGAGTGTAACAGGGCAAGGGTCAAATTTCCAGTGGCCCTCAGCTTGTCCCAACTGCAGAAGCATGTGTTTTCCCTTTCAGATCAAGACATAAATAGGTGGCCCAGGCCCCGCTTCCCTTCTGCCTCTGTTCCAAGCTCCACACTGGCCCCATCTTCAAAGATAAACTTTAGCTTCCTCCTTCAAGTTAATTCAAATAGTTTCATTCATGTAGAAGACAAACCCAGGTTTTCTCTTCACTTTTTAAATTTTAAAAACTTTGTGATAAAATATAACATAAAATCTACCACCTCTGCCATTTTTAAGTGTGCAGTTCAGTAGTGTTGAGTATGCTCACATTTTTGTGGATACCAATCTCCAGAACATTTTTATTCAGCAAAACTGAAACTCTGGATCTATTGAACAACCACTCCCATTTCCTGTCCATAAGTTTAACTATTCTTGATATCTCAGGGAAATGGGCCCATGCAGTGTTTTTGTGGCTGGTCTTTTTCACTTGAGCATAATATCCTCAAGGCTCATCCGTTATTGCGTAGGCCAGAATATCCTTCCTTCTTACGGCTGGATAATATTCCACTGCATGCGTATTTCACTATCCATTCATATGTCCATGGACACTTGAGTTGCTTCTACTTTTTGGTTACTGTGAATAATGCTGGGTTATGAACATGGTGTATAAATATCTGTTTGGGTCCTGGTTTCCAACTCTTCTGGGTATAGACGTACAGGTGTAGATGCTGGATCACATGGTAATTCTTTTTTAATTTCTTGAGGAACTGCCATCTTGTTTTCCATAGCAGCTGCACCATTTTTCAGTCCCCCAGACAGGGCTCACTTCAATTTGATGAAGTGGCCACTCTTGCAGAAGGACAGGGGCTGGATGAGACTTGCATCTGGTAACAGAGTAAGATCATTTGGCCTCAACGCATGGAAGTTCCCCTATACCAGCGCCACGTGGGCAGTGAAGGGAGTCACAGGCTCCCTATCCTTTCTATTGTCACTGGGGGGAGGAAGTGATAGAAAGGGTTCCCATGCATCCTAAAATGCTCTGTGTGTTTGCACCATGAGGAGGACCTTAGCTTTCCTGTGCGCTTTTCTGTACTCCTACTGCTAAGGCCCTTCTGATCCACTCCTACCTGCAACCTCTTCCAGCCTCTGTTTCCATTTTGCCTCAGAACCTACTTTTCCTTTTTTTGTTTGTTTATTTCTTAGTATCAGAAAATGGTCTTGCCAAAAATTTTTATTGATTATACTCATGTACTCATGTCCATGTCAAATAGGGAAAATGATAAAGTGCTGTCTCTCTCAGGAATGCAGCCAGTGCCAGACCAACACAGAATGAGGATGCCTGAACTCAGGGCCTATGCTTTGTCCACAAGATTATCCAGCCTAAAGCAAGCACCAGAACTTCCTTGACATTCCAGCCAGCTGGGCATAAACCATGATCTAGCATGTAAGAGGTGAGATCTGTGATCTGTGTTAGGATTTCACAGAAGGATCAATGAACCAAGCTTACCTCCTACCCTTCAACTCTCCACTTGGGGTAGGGGTGGATCTGTTCTTACCCTAGGTGGCAAACCTTGATGCTCAAGAGGCAGACTGGTCAGTCCGGGTGTACATTTTACCACCTGCATGACTGGGAGTTCAGGATTTCACCTGTTCATGCCTCACTTGTCCTAGTCTGTAAAAGGGAAGCAGGAATTATACACCGTGTAGGGTTCATAGCGGGTTTACAGCCTGGCAACAGTAAATACTCCGACTATAGAGGCTATTATTTCATCCTGGTGTGAAGAAAGAGAAGGCTCTCCCAAACTCCCATTGAGTTCACCATTTAGGTCCCGTGAACGAGTCCAGCTCATTCTCCGCTCCGCATCTTTGTTCAAGCCGCTTGCTTCCCCTGGTTCTCTCCCTCCATCCTTTCCCCAGTCTTCTCTTCCTCCGCTTTCTTTTCCCGGGTTTAGCTCCCCAGGCCCATAGCTCTCTCTCCTGCCACATCTCTTATTTGCTGTGCTCCTTCCTGCTCTTTTCTTCTATTCGTAATCCAGAGCTCCAGAAGATTTCTATAGCACCACCCAGGAAGGCAGGCGCGCTGCGAGGCACAGGCTGGAGACCGGGAGGAAGCTTGCAGAAGGATGCCCAGTGGCTGGCCTAAGCAAACCTGCTTTCTCAGTCGCAGAGCTAACCACCTCGGGAACACTGGAGTGAAACCTAGTGGGGTGGTTCGTGTATCTGGAGCACTGGCCGTGAGATCTGGGAGGCGGCGTGTCCTGCTCCTGCGTGCAGAGGCATTCCAACAATAGCTGCAGATGCAGGGGGTGGGCGGTGGCCTGCGGTGACTCAGGTCCAGGCAGGGGCGTGGGCAGCGTCGCTCACGGCTGCAGCCTGCCCACTAGGGCCCAGACGGCAGGCACCAAGCAGGTGGTGCCCTCGCTGACTCACACAGGAAGGCGAGAAGGCCTTGACCAAATCTGCAAAGCAAGTCGCCTATGTCAGGGAAGCCCTTAGAGAAACAGGAAGCACAGAAACGGAAAATTCAGCGTGTCCTCAAGCCTTTGTTCTCGCTGAAGTTGATGACGATGAGCGACTGCTGAGCCCAGCACTGCGGTTCTGAGAAGTGAGAGTCAGTCATGTTCCCTCCCAGGGAGGCCCCCCAGTCAGAGGGCGCCAGGCCAGACGGGGAGAACCCCGGGTCGGGTGAGGGTTCCCCTCTGCCTTCAGCTGTGTGGGTTGTGACCAGCCAAAGGAAGGCCGGCTGAGGGAGCACGCTGCTCCCCTAGAGAGGGCCCGGGGTGCCCCAGCCAGCCCAGAGGAAGCGGCATCTTTTCCTAGTGTGTCTTCCAGGAGGAGGACACCGTTCTCTAATTAGCACAAAGATACTGTGCGTGCCAGCGGCGGCCTGTTTACTGAGCACTTACATCCACACCCTCTGTATTAAGAACTTGGTACACACTGTCTCATTGAATTCTTACCACCATCCCAGGAGCAGGTTCTTTTATGACTCCTCTTATGTAGAAGAGGAAATATCTGCAGAGAGGTGATCTGCCTAACAGTGGGCAGCTGTTGATAGCAGAGGAGAAATTGGTACACAGCCATGCTGGCTCCTAGCATGATTTGTTGAGATACTGATAATCGGTTAAGTCTTAGGTAGTTGAAAATGCCCTATGTTCTCAGAGGTGTCTTAATCAACCTATGTGCCTCTGAGGTGAACAGAGAATTAGTGGCCCGTTGGGGATTCTTGGAGAGTTTGGCTCCACCCCTACAGACTCAAGCTGCCCCAGGGCCCACCTGCAGCCAGGCAGGGGCTTGGCTGTCCCCTCACTGAGTAGAGACAGGTGTGAGTGGGAGGTCTCAGGCAGCACAGGGCCAGGAGCCCTCTTAATAAACACAGACTTGTCACCACCCTGTTCCCTCCATGCTGTGAGTGTGGTCTCTTCCTGCTATGCAGGGAATTTAAAAATAACTCACTGGGTAATGACCATTGGGATAATCTGCCATTCCAATGGAGTCGCCAGTCACCACTTTAAGAGAAGCAGCAATCTTTAGTTCAGAAGTTCGAAAGCTTCAGTGTCCATAAAATCATATTCTCAGCCCAGCAGCCGGCGTGCTAACAAGTTCCCCAGGGCATCTGATCTCAGTAGTTCGTAGGACTATCTGTCCTGAAACATTGCTTTGGGTCTTTCATACTATGGGATGTAGGTCACCATCTCGGCTAAATTAAATGAGAAGAGCTGACACTGAATATCTCTTTGTCAAATGAAAGCTAATGTCTTTTAACAATTATTGTTTATTTTTGAAAAGGAACTCCACAATCTCAGGTGAGGGTTCTTGGGGGCGGGAACACCTGTAATGGCATTAATTACCCTGAGGAAAAGCATAGGAAGAGAATATACAAGTTTGAGCAGCCTGGACCATATTTTAGGGGCCCCATGGATCTGTAAAACCATTATCATATATATATAAGATATGAAGAATGAGAGCAGAATAAGGATTTGCACATCAGACAGGCAACTTACACCTCCAAGTTCAGGCATGGAAGTTTTGTCAGGCCAGATGGTGAGGCGTTTTCTCTAGTTTGCCACCCAGACTTCCTCCTCCTTAGGACAGTAACAGACACGATGACCTGGGTTATGATTTGAAAAGCATCACAAAGGTGTCTAGCCTAGAACTCTGTCTCCAGTCTGCTGGCCTCTTCACCCTTCTGTGGCTTTCCTCTGGCCCTGGAAGTCTTGGGGAAAATGAGAGTGTTCACCTAAAGAGCTAAGTGTCAGAGAGGGCACACCTTAACCATTTTGTCACCTGCTGTCTGTATAAACCCCAGCGGCAGGGAGAATCAAGGCAGGTAGGAAGGCAACACCTGAATAATGGGATGGGAGGGGGTTAATGAGATCACACTGGATACCCAGGCAAGGGCAGTTTCACGTGCTAAGGCCAGGTCTGCTCACTCCCTTCATCCTTACCCTCTCCGTGCTTACTATTAGAGCTAGAACCATCCCTGTCCTCCCCCACTCAGTTTCTCTGTTACTTAGATTCAACACTATTTTATTAAGAGTCCAAACAGCTGACTACATCACATAGTTGGCTTCTTTCAGTTTCAAAGGAATGAGGGCAAGTATGTGTGTGTGTAAGGAAGGGGCACGTTGGGCTGTATAGCTGCAGATGTCCTTCCCTTTATGCAGCCCTTAGGCCCCACAGAGAAGGGACAGCTGGGTGTGATCCTCCCTGCCAAAGGCAGTTAGCACCAAGAGAGCTGAAGCTGCAGCCAACTGCCCTCAGAAAGGAGCTACAAGATGTAATGCCCAGACCTTGACCACTTCGCAGCTCCCTGTGTGTCATTTATTAGGTTAGCCAGGCCCCAACAGACAAAAGTGAATAGGACTGGGTTTCCTTGACTTCCCTTCTGCCTGTGGGTAAACACTTGGGCTCACAAAGCTTGTTGGCAACAAAGGTGGACAGTGACATGGGGCAAGGGATCACCTCTCTGGGCCTCAGTTCCCTTAAATATAAAACAAATCAGTTGGTCACAGAAATTCCCTCTGGCTCTAAAGTTGTATAATTCCATCAGATGTTGCCACTGTTAATCTGGCACACATTTAGAGATGTGCATATGTAGACAGACATTATATAGGTGTTTAACTTGCATGAATTCAACTATACAAGTTCTGTCTCTTTTACATACTTAAAAATAAAAATGCTGTAAAATTACATTTTATGTACGTATACACATTATATATTTATAAAAACATAATACTAGGCAGGTTTATATGCCCCAAATCTTGTATAACTATACGAGTGACTTAAGAGATTTTCGAATTTACCTTCGGTTGCACCTGACTTTTGAACTTAACCCCACAGAAGGGGAGATTCCAAAACAGTGATTGCTCTGTTGCCTGGGAGGGAGTGGAGTATAAGGACAAGAATATGAGTTTTGATCTGGGTTTGAATCCTGGATTTGAATCTCAGCTTTGTCATGTATTAAATCTGTGATCTTGGCCAATTTACTTAAGCTCATACAACTCTAGTTTCACTATCATCAAACAGGAAGAAGAATAATGGATTAGGAAGATTTAGTTCTAAGAGTGGCTACGTTAGAAGTTGATTCTATGGATTAATAAACTGTGGCATATGTATACCATGGAATATTATTCAACCATAAAAGATGGAGACTTTACATCTTTTGTATTAACCTGGATGGAGTTGAAACATATTCTTCTTAGTAAAGTATCACAAGAATGGAAAAGCATACTTGCATATATACATTCAATGTATTCAATACTACTATGAAGCCAGTTGACCAACTAATTTAAGCCCACACAAGAGAAAAACTCAATTTAATTCAAGTGGGGGGGATAATTAATGAAGAGGGGAGGAGTATCGGTGTGCTCTTACCTACTGGGCACAATGTAAGGGTACGTGGCACACCTCCTGGGGGCAGGACACAACTACAACAGGGACCTTACCCAACAAATGCAAACACTGTAACATAATCATTTGTACCCTCATATTAATCTGAAATTGTTATAAAATGAAGTTTATTCTATGCTCAAGATCCCTTCCAGTATTACTGTTATTATTAGAGTAGCAAGAATCTCCTTGAAAACGTAACAGGCTTAAGTCCTTGCTCTTTGGAATGTAAGTGGGTCTGTCAAGTGCTAGATAAGCCCAGTCTGCAGTTTTATTTATTTTATTTTTATTTTTATTTTTTGAGACAGTCTCAAGCTGTTGTCCTGGGTAGAGTGCCATGGCATCATAGCTCACAGAAACCTCCAACTCGGGCTAGAGTGATTCTCTGGCCTCAGTTTTTCTATTTTTAGTAGAGATCGAGGGTGTTGATTTTTTGCTCAGGCTGGTCTTAAACTCATGAACTCAAGCAATCCACCAGCCTCGGCCTCTCAGAGTGCTAGAATTACAGGCTTGAGCCACCGCACCTGATGTAGCAAAGCCTTCAAGGTGATGGGCCTTGTAACCCTTCAAATGCAAACACATACCTTTAGCATTAACCTGAGAGGCTATCTCAAGATGTAACTGTCTCTTGAGGAGATAGAAGATATTGTTTTGTGATTTCTTCTGCTTCAGTGCACACGCTGTCTACACGTTCATCCCTACTTTGCAGCCTTTTGCCACTCCCTATGTGCATGTGCTCTGAGCGTGAACTCCATGGCAAGTCAGCTGTCTGTCCTCCCACACTGGCGTGGGGAGGTCTCCATTGGTTAGACTTTTGTTTCCCCAAAAGTAGGAACAGCAGGTTGAACTTCAATCCTTCCATTCCAAGCGGGAACAAGAGGGTTCTTAAATTATGACGATGGGGTCCATTCTACCCCTGGGGGGTTTCTGGGGGACGGTGGGGAGGAAGGAAGGAGCTCGTGAGCCTGGGGCACATTGGACAAGAGCATTAGGGGTCCTGGGGGTGTGAAGACCCTCTAGGTGCTTCACCTGCCTCCCTCCTCTTCCCTGAGGTCCTGCACTGCCCAGCTGTGAGTCCTAGTCCCCTGCAGGCCCGCTTCCACATCTTGCCTGCCTCTGGCTCATTTTTCTTCTTTTCAAGGGAGGGGCGAAGCAATGCAAGAAGCCTATAATAGGATGGGCATGAGGACAGGCATGCTAGCCATGGACAGCTCAGTGTACAGCTGGCCAGCTCAACGCAGCCTGTATGTGGGTTCAGCCTGGCTCCCTGCACCGTGCAGCAGAGACCTCAGGGCCTTCCCCTCTTCTAAGGCTCCATTCTCGCCCTCATTCCCAATGCTGCCTGCTGTGGCCCAGCACCAGAAAATAAAAGTATGTTTAACAAAGGCAGAAAAGTTTTGTTGGTTCACAGGAATTTGATTCCCCTCCGGACTGAGATGATCTGCTTTGTAAAATGCAGAGGGAAGCTGTGTGGGAGGCTGGGGCCTTTGGGTCCTCCCCTGCCATTCGCCTCTGGCCTCTTTGAATGCTTGTCAAACAGAATTTCTGGTTGGATCAAATGACTTCAGTTGAAAAACTAGAGATTGATAAGTTGGGGAGGGAGAAAAATGATTTTAAAATCATTACATTCTTAACCAAATACATCAAAGAAAGCTTCCCTTCCAAGAGTGATTGTCTGATCAGACTCCCCTTGATTCCTCCTCCTCCTCACTCCCACACCACACACACTCACGGTATTTTGCTTCATTTGGCAGGACACAGGACAATTGGCCAGCGTTTCACATAAAGGAAGGACATTCCCCTTTAAGGAGCATAAGGAAGGAATGATCAGCGTCTCACATTCCCATGAGTCCTGTCCACTTTCCATCAGGCACCCTACGCACCTGCAGAACAGAGCTCCACTGACACTTCCCAACCACCCTGGGGTTCCAGCCGCCCCCCATCTGCACAGTTCTGTCTTGAGTTTCTCTCTGTTCCTAGGTTATCTTTGACATAGTGACCCATTTTACCTCTTTCTGTCCAGAAGTGGTTGTTCCGGAGGGGGAATGAATCACTTTGTATTCATAACAAGGCAGGCAGTCCCCAAACTTCAGACACTTTCCACTTGTTCAAAGCCCTTGAATAGGCTTTGAAGGAAACTTAACAAATAGTTACCCCTGGGTTAACACCTGGTGTGAGGCTGCCTAGCCTGAAATATAACTTTACAAACCACTTCAAAGTTGCCAGAGATACAGGTTTGGAACAGACAGACCATTTCCTTCTAACCACTACAGCACGTTTCCTTCCAGCTGAGCAGTAAGCCAGCAGAATTCCAGAATTTTCTTCATTTAGCACAAAGCTGCCATTTTGTCATGGCTCAACTTGATCCCTCTCACGAGTTGGCCCAATGTCACCGTATCTAATAAATCAAGTATAAGCTGGTTGCCTCCCAGAAGAAGGAATTTGCCTTGATTTTTTGAACCACATGCAAGCGAGCAGTAATTTATACACTGCCTGGAAACCAGTAGCACAAACACTGATAAGTAAATATTCAGTCGGAGCCAAACTCCCCCTGCTATTCATGAAAGGAACTTGGATGCCCACTCTCCAAGTGTCAATCATCTTGAATCATGCTACTCTTGAATTTAACTAATGGTTTTTTCCAAAGTAGCATCTCCCATTAAAGCCAAATGATGCCTTTGGGCAGGTTATTCCTTTGAAACGTTGTGCTATATTTGAATAGAAAATAACTTAAATGTGAATAAATGCAAGTCTGTTTGGGTGGTTGGTTATATAGCCAGGGTTAAGTGTTTGCATTTCAAGTTACTATTTTTAATCAAAAGTTTTCCAATAATTACAGCCTAAAGGAAACCACAGCACAATTTTTAACCAGAAATTTACGCACTGTAATGGGTAATTACCAAAGAATAAATATAGTGTTTAGGAATAAGAAAGTAAGAAGAGTGACATTGTAAAAGTTGTCAGCTTCTCAGAGCCAAACCTCTTCCCCAGCTCTCTCCCTCCCTCCTCCACCAGGAGCTCAGCCACCTTCTCCATTCCCCCTCCCATTCTCTCTACCCAATCTTGCCCACTGAAAAAGATCTGAAAATCATTTCCATCTTGGTATGAATGGTTGATAACTTAAGCATTGCATGTTTTCAGATTATCCATTTATTTTAATGGGTTGGATAATGTTTTCATCTAAAGAAGTTCTAACAGGAATTTTAGCAACCAGACCAC